AATGCGCCAAATATTGAAAATAACTGAAAGCTATGTTAAAATCAAAAAGGTTATGTTATAGTGCATACGCTGTTTATTAGACATCAAAACAGCGATCGATGTATAACGCCTCCTACGATAGATGAGTCAGAGTTCACGATTGGCAAGTAAGGAGCAGCGGTAAGGAAAGTCGAAGTTTTTAAGACACACCGCCCTGATAATGGCATTTTCTACGTATAGTCGAACACTGTTGGTTTTAATTTGACGTGTGGCAGCGCGCAGTGGTTAAGGCGAGCGTGCGTGTGTGCGTGGGCAGGTGCGGCGCATGCGGCCGATCCGGCGCTGGGAGAACCACGGCTCGCGCATCCCGTCCCACTTCGACGCGCGCCGGCGCTGGCAGGGCCGCATCACGCCCGTGCGTGACCAGGGCTGGTGCGGCGCGTCGTGGGCGCTCAGCACGGCCGCCGTCGCGTCCGACCGCTTCGCCATCATGAGCGCGGGCGAGGAGCACCCGGCGCTGGCGCCCATGCACCTGCTCGCCTGCAACACGCGCGGCCAGCGCGGCTGCGGCGGCGGCTACCTCGACCGCGCGTGGTTCTTCACCAGGAAGTACGGGTGAGTGGCCGAACCGATTCCCGTCTTCGTGGATCGAAGAAAATACATACACGGAAACTTCCGCGGCTCCGCTTCAAGACTTCTTGGCTGTCCGGGTGACGCCGCGACTTTGGCTGAGAGGCCGACGGTTCTTGCACATCGTAAGCTTCTTAAGGGTAGTGAACAATCTGTCATTGATGTCACTACCTGATTTGTCACTACCCTGAGAAAGCCTGCGATATGACAGGTGAAACATCGGCCTGTCAGCCAACGACGCGATGACACCCGGACAGCCAAGAAGTCAGTTGTGAAATAATCATCATCGACGCTACAGCTCACTGAAAACATGCTTGGGCTTTTTAGCGCTTAACATACATGAATCTGCTGGCAGCAAACAAGTATTTTTCTCAGAGAGTATTTTTCTCACACATTCAAATAATACGTTCGCCCAATTAAGATATTTCTAAATCATTTTCCTACTCCCATTTGTAACAAGTCCAGCTCTTATATACATACACAACTCGATACGGATATTCCACTTCGAACCATTTCACTATGTACGTCATGTTTATGAAGTTTTATCAATGATGTGTTCGTTCTTCTACTAAACTGATGAATTTTTTCTTTGTTTCACTTTTTTTTGTTATTTAAAGTCGCATCAACTTCTAGGCCATTAGCGATCACTGTTGCGTGTAACGGTATGGTAATTGTGTCCGTGATACGATATGATGATAGGGGGCGAAAGGACGAACACAATACAAAGATGCCCGAGGCGGGACTCGAGCCCGCAATCCTTCGGTACGGCACTACTCCCTTAGCGATCTCGGCCATCCGGACCGGCATTGTTTCACGGTTCAAAATGGTCTACTCTGCGAATATTATACGTCAAACGCAAACAAAGCATTGCTGTGCACAGTGTACTTGTACATAAAAAACTTGAGAACTGCAACTCAATTCAGCAATATCAGAACTTCCTTGCACTCACATACCTGAATCTGCGTATTCTCTAGAAGTACGAATCTCACTCGTGGGTACGTGGTTCCCTCTTTCTGGAAATGTGGAGGTTAAAAATTGGGGTGAAGTACCGCACACCGAGGAAGTGACTGGTCAAATCACTCAATTAAAGAATTGCAATGAGATGCTCTCCACAGCACCGAATATATTTCGCTGAGATAGCCCTAAGGTAAGGCCCTCTGCAATTCCATGTTCTAAAGTCTGAGAAGCTCTGCTTCGGGCCCACGAAGGGGAGGGTCCCACGCCGACATTTAGTAATAGGGACAAGAGAATGGAATGGAAATAACGGGTGATGAGGTGGATTAAGCGGGTCGCTGAGGCAGTAACGGTAACAAACGCGACATGTTAACAAATAAATACTGAGAAAAACTTTCAGTGAAAGGAATAAAATCTATGTAATATAATTGCTTTCGAACACTATTTGTCAAGGGGACAGTTCTCAAGCGTCACGTCAGTAACCCAAAAATGAAGTCTAAATATAATACCCAAATTCAATTTTTTTTACACGAAAAATCACATGGAAATTTAAATAATATTGCCTGAATAATTTCGTGATTATTATAATTTCTCGGCTTATAGATTCACTTACAAAATGCTCGTTCACTTATATTTATACATTTTTTTACATCAAAAGAAAATTGTAGGAATATTCTAATCGAATCTATTGTTTTCTTTGCTTACCTAGGTAACACGTCCCTGCTGTCTTCTCCGAAAATATTACTTTCTACATAGTAAAACATTGCTTTTTCTATCGTTTTTCACTTTCGATAATACTGTCTCTCAGAAAATGGTATGTACAGAAAATTGCTGCAGCTGAAATGAATCCACATGAAGAATGTTCGTAAAGTAACATCGCAATAAATTGAAGAGAGATTATTCCAGTTACTTGTTAAAAAACAAGTCCAATCAACTTCTCCGAACTCGATCTGGTAGGCGTTTCCTAAACTAGAAGATACAGTAGGCGTCCTGTTACTCGCTCTACTAGCGCGATTCGGTTTTATTATTCAAAATATGTTTCAAAATACTATATCTGAAACTGAATTATATTTATTGATGTGTTTAAAGAAATGCATTTGCTGTCAAATAACCGAATTAATTTTTAATTTATTGTCCGCCTACTTAAAACGGAGGAATGAGATGCTGTCGGCAAGAGAAACGAAGTAAGTTTAAAAAAAGATATTACTTTCAGAACAAATTTGATTTTAAAGCAGAATATATTGCAATAAGGTCATTTTCACATCCTGACGGCACGACAATAATTTCTATTTTATTAAACAACATTGGTTAGAGGTCAATATGTGTTTTAAAATTTCATTGTGGCTATATTGTATTTGTAAACTCTATTTCGAAAACAAACTCTGTAATATTTTAGTGATCAGACAGCAAATATTACAAAGAATTATTGGATTCAGATACAAGACGCAATTATGTACACTGAAATCAATCATTGACGTTCAAGATGTGTGAAATCCAACTTGGCGTGAGTAATCTATACTAATATAACGACATGTAACCGATTTATTCACAAAAAATAATGAATAAATAGATATGCAATTTTTACAGGATCATCTTCTGGATTGTCGCAGTATTCTTGCAGTTTAGTACAGATTAACACAACACAAATGCGGAAAATAAACCATTTAAATATACTATTAGATGCACCATTAGTCTTCGCCTGTTGCTAGGAACAAATTGTTTTTAAATATATTCCGCCAGAGGCCAGTAGCAGCAGATTTGGTAATAATAGAGGCCAGTGGCACTGTGTAAGATATTTTCTTATCAAATAACAGTGTACTGTAAAATACGATGAAGGAAAATTATAGTATTTTATTCAAATCTGAACCAATTACATTAAAAATAATTATTTTAATCCCCATGATTTTTATAAAATTGATCTTTTTCCTTATTTAAAATGATTGGATATTACGAAAGCCCGGGCAACGTCGGATATTTTGCTAGTCGACCAATAGACGACAGAAAATGCCACGTGTCAACCTCACTGCAAGCACATTCCATCCAAAATGTGAACTAACTTCAGAATATAGGTCACGGGCATACGACCATGCCATCCACCTGCGTCGCACCGAGGAGGTGAACAATGCTCCATTAAGTAGTTGGGCCGCTGGCCGCGAGGCGGCGCCAGCCTTTCAACTATCGAGCGTCGCACATGCTCCATCGACTAGGAACACTTTTAGAGTGACCTCAAAAGTAAATAAATGTCATTATAGGCAAATTGTACACAACATATTAACATATTACTGTTCATTTTTTTGAACTCTAGATAGAATAAAAAACAATTTGGAACAACATTCGAAAAACAACGATTATATATATATATATATAATAAAGAAAATCATAAAATCATGTGATAGAAGACCAAATACTAATTTCATAATAGTTTGTTCAAAAAAAAGTCAACATCGTGTTCTCGTTCCAACCAATCCAAAAATGTATTTGTACTTCTGATTTTAAAATACATTTCATTATCTCAGAGCCACCAATAGTATTGTTTGTGCAGCGACTCTTATCGTGACGGTCTAGGGTTCGAGTACCGACGCGTCAGTGGTGGATTTTCATCACTATGAAATTTCGTTGAATTCAGCCGCCGTGAGGAGAAGTCTAGCGTCAGGCTGCTTTGGTCGGAATGTTTGCGTGCTTTTTATCAATACAGGGCGGATTCTGGAGTAATACCTTGGAAAATAGCCCACAGATCGCGTGCGGTCTTTCCTACAGCTTCCTTGTCATATACTCACATACACTAACATGCACTACGCTACCACATATGACGGAAAACCGGTCGAGAGTTCAAAGTGTGTCCCGGCTGGGGCGGTGCCCCGCTAAGGGAGATACGGCGAGTGAAGAAACACCCACAAACCGCCGCGGGGGTTGACGCCATATCTCAGAACCGACAATGGCGCTGATAGGTGTCACAAGAACTCTCTGATGACGTCCAAATGTTGACATTAGGGAGTTTTTGCCTTCATAGCGGACATCATTTCGCATGCGTAGTTCAGGTTCATCATTTTTGTGCATCTGCGCATGCGCAGAAGATCGATAATGATGTCCGCTATGGCATCCAAAACCCCTATTACAATTTCTGAGCAAAGAAATCGAATAGGCTACTCAGTAATTCTGTGAAGAACATTGTTGCATTTCGTAAATATTATTTGAAGCAAGAATATTAAAATCTATTAAATCAGCTAAAAATATTAAAAATGACGTGAAAAGGTAAAAAATTACTTATTAGTCGAGATCAATGAAAAAAAGGCGTATAAAAATGAGCCATTTCCTTTAGTGATAATATAAAATGAATGTCTATGCTAGCCGGCATTGTTCTAAAGCGAATGGCGCGCGTGCCCAGGCTGGTGGACGACGACTGCTACCCGTACTCGGCGCAGCAGGGCCACGTGGGCGCGTGCCGCCTGCCGCTGCACACCACGCTCCAGGCGGCCGGCTGCCGCGCGCCGCAGCAGCGCGTGGGCGCATCGCCGCGCTCGGCGCTCTTCCACACCGGCCCGCCCTACCGCCTGGGCTCCGAGGCCGACATCCAGGCCGAGATCATGGCGTCGGGACCCGTGCAAGGTCAGCTGCGCGCCGACAATTGAGAGTGCGCTTGCGCCATGTGGGTGCGTGTGTGTGT